CCTACCTTTGCCTGTGAATGCCCACGCGTAAGCAGTTTTCTTTTACATGGTGTAGGCAGCATGACTTGCTCAGCCCATCTGCTCCCATCTGGGGGAGTTTACAAACCAGCTTACGCTGCAGCTAAAAGTGACTATGGTACTTTCATGATAGTGTCTTGGTTTGTGTCTCAGCCGTAGCTTGCTGTACTGCACATCTTACCCAGTTGTGGAGACTTGTTTCTCTGCCAGAACTCCAGGAGGGTGGCTGCAGAGCAGGTGCTGCTCCTCTGTGCCATTTGTACCACTGTAAATGGAGAGGCAATAAAGGAGCATCTTCTAAAGCAAGTCTGTTGGCAAGTGCTTTTTACCAGGCTTGATGGGTGCCTCTCTGCTGTCACCTGAACTGGGACTTGGATGCATCTGAAAATCAGGCCTTGGTCAGCAAGCATTACAGCGCCTTTGCAAATAGGGCTTATGTTCCTAAATCAGCAGAATATTCTTAGTGACGAAAAAAAAGAGCGGGTTGTTCTTCAAAATCGCAACTGCGTTAGTCTTTAACCTTAAGAGAAAGTAGCTGGAGTTTTGGTTAAAAGCTTAGTAACTTCTGTGGAAGTTAACATTAGAACTAAGGCCACATTGAGATTAGGATAAGCTTTGTGGTTTGTGTGTGTGCTATTGCAGGGCAACCTTTCAGAGGAGGCAGACGGAAGTGAAGTTTCCAGTAAAATTTGTGACATGCTTATGAAGGAATGTGCAATCAAAATACAGACTGGCTAGTCTGTACATAGGGGCAGAACAAGTGCTGCAGACTTGGGCTGCTCCAGCTACATTTTTAAGTTAACAGTTAAACCAAGCAAACACTACAGCAAGCCAAGAACTTAACTTTTTGTATCAGTATAATGCTTCATTTTATCTCCTCTTCCCCATCCTGCCACAGCCCTGAAGACACTTAATTCCAACCACCTGCACTTTGAGTAATTTCTGGGTAGAGGTGAGGTTTCTGAAAACTCCCAAGAGATTTTGGGCCTGGAGAGTTCCATCCAGTCAATATTGCACTGCTGATTTGTTACAGCTCTGAAGATAGCATATTGCAATGGGATTTGCACTGGCTTTTATTTAGCAGTGATGTGAAGTGTGATTTAGATAGTTATGCCTGATGTAGTACTGTGATGAGTTTATGCATCAAAGATGAGCAGTTTGCAAAGACAAGGGGACAAGAACGCAATGGGACATCCCTTTGCTGGGAGGGGCAGGAATAGGAGGGATGCATAGGTGAACTTCTGCCCACTTGATGCATGGTGTATCTCATGGGGCAACTGTGAGAAAAATCTTTATTCTGGGGAGGAGGAGTGTGTATGTCAGCAGGA